TTGCAACAGTGACAGAGACATCTGGAGTAACCAACTTTTATTTTTACTGGATTTAAGTCCTACTCAAGATGAAACCCATACCTAGCCATCCTTGGCTAGACAGGTCATAGTCCCTAGGGAGAAACTACTATCATTCCTTTGCCAAATGGACGCAGCATTAGACCAACTTCTAGCGAGTTAACATTATAACCATAGATTAATACATCTACAGCGGGTACCATGCCACCTATAGCCCATTTCCTCCTCCAAAGGCTCGGGGGGGGGGGTCATTGTGGAAGAGAGGATATATAGAGTGTAAGAGCCAGGGGTGGTGGTGATACTGTAACCAATCAACAGCAGAGCAGCTGCACACTGGAACTCAAAGTTGTGACAGCATGCACAAGGCCAGCGAAAGCTAGAGACAGAGTCTTAGTAAGAAGAGGGAAGGAGGGACAAAGTCTCACCCTAGATGAGCAGTTATTAGCCATTGCTTGCTGAGGGGGAAAGAGAAAGTCTTTTTTCTTTAGGAATATAGTCTCTGGTAAGCCAATCATAATCCACTGGAAGGCTACATATCCAATAGTACATGGGCAACATATATTGGACTTGAGTTTAAAAGCGAGAGAGAGGGCAGAGTTGGGAAGGGCATAAAGGTGGACCTGGGTTGAGTTTGTGGATAGTGTTTGATTATGATAAAAAAAAAAACACACACTGTATGAAATTATCAAAGAAATAAAGATATAGAATTATGTAATATCTGAAAGCAATTATTTTAATATTATGTTCCTAATTGCATTTAAAGTAGAAACAACTGAAATTTGTTATAAAGACTAAAACATGTTCAGATCTATCCAGGAGAAGTGAACTCCTTTTAAAGATGAAGAAAGAGAATTCAGAAACAATGTTAACATTTGGCTCCTGGTACATGTATTTTCTGGTGTGTTCATGAGTTCATAGGTGAGTACAGATTGCAAGGGTGGGGAGAGGCTAAAAGCTAATGACAGCCATCTTCCTCAATCACTCTTCATTTTCAAATAAAAGATCTATTTTTATTACATATATATGCACATGCATAATGTCCTGGAACTTGCTTAAGACCAGGCTGGCCTTAAACTCACAGAGACCTGCCTGCCTCTGCCTCCCTAGTGCTGGGATTGAAGGTGTGCACCACCACTGCCACAGCCATTTTTATTATGTTTAATTATTGGCCTGGGCATGTAACTGTGTGTAGGCACATATATATAAGCACAAGTTCTTGTGAAGGAGGTGAATACTCAGGATCTGGAGTTACAAGTGGTTAGGAAGAGGGAACCGAACTCATACCCTTTGCAAGACTGTAAAGCACCCTGAACTGCAAAGGCAATTCTCCCTTCTTTCTACTTCCTTTTCTGAGATAAGATTACTCACTTCATCTGAGGTTTCTCGGTTTGACTGTTGCTGATGGCAAACAAACCCCAGGGATCATCCTGTCTCTGCTTTCTCTGCTCTGAAGTCACTCACACACTGCTACACATATCATTTTTGGTGCCTTCAGGGAATTCCAACTCCGTCTTCTTGTTTAAAGGGTAAACACTTTACTTAGTGAGCCTTTTCCTCATCCCTAAGGTATACATATTTATTATGAATTATGACACCATCTATACCATCCATATATTGTATTCAGACTCAGAAACATCTTCAAGAACAAGTTAGACCCAAAGAAGTTTCCAAATATAAGTATATGCATAATAAGTCAGAGATACTAAAATTCTATCTTGTTGTAACATCTTCATCCATGTGAATGCTTTACAACCCATTTCTTCCCTTCCTTCCTTCCTTTCTGTAGCTTTCCCAGAAAGTGAAATTGAAAACCAAACTATACTTTCATTGTTTTGAATAAAATATTTACTGTATCAGGACGGGAACGCAACCACAGCATTTCAGACTGAGAACATCAGAAGTGAGCATGTCTGCAGAAAGACATGATCTCTTTCAGTTCATGTGCAACTGCCTCTTCATATCTGGACAAATCCACAAGTGAACTGTAGATGGAGTACTTCTTGTGTGCTGAGCATGCTTGGCATTTTAAGTGACAAGATCTTATTGTGGTATATAAAATAATTAAGGCCATGTTTTATGATTTCAATGTACAGACCTTCCTGACAACATTAGGTTTTAGGGTGATTTCCGTGCAATAAATTGACTCTAAGGAATTCCATAATGTCCGCTGAGTCCTTTTGTTAACTCTCCCAAATCAACACAATCTGGGGCAGCACATGAGAAAATCTTTGACATCAGATTAGAATGGCAGGGGATGTACACAAGTATCCAGTCAGTGTTCAAGCCTTAGGCATAACAACATAAAACTGCCTTGAGTTTTTGGCCTAAGTCTTATCTTACAATGCACTCTTTTTAGAAGTCCTTATATATCACAGGGACTCAAAAGGTTGATATTAAATATATTCTATCACTGAGACTGATCAACTTTGTTCTTCATTCCAATAGTGGCTTTGAATACAAAGTATCGTAAAACCCACGATGTTGTCTGTTACTAAAAAGAAAAAAAAGTGAAGAATTAGCAGTCAACATTCATAGAGTTTGCACTGGGTATTTACAAAGGGAGACAATGCATGTCCCTTCTACCCCAGTTAGTAACTGCTTTGCTTTGCAAACTAACCCATCTCATGCTTTTCAGAGAGGGTTGGTGTTGGAAGAAATGAGCAACATGGTGTGGGGTATGAATGTGTATTTTTTTTTCCATTTTATTTTATAGGATGGGCATTTTGCCTACGGAAATGCCTGTATACTACATATGAAGGTCAAAAGAGTAAATCAGATTCCACAGAACTAGATCAACAACTGCTGTGAACCACCATATGGGTGCTGGGAATTGTGTCCTGGTCCTCAGGAAGAGCAACCCGTGCTCTTAACCACCGAGTCATTTCTCCAGCTCCAAGTGTATTTTGTATTTAGGAAGGTACACATGGAAAATAATATATAATCACAGGTTTCCTACCTTTGGAGAGTCAGAAGTCTTTGACACAAGGCATGGGATTAGTGGAAAAGCAGGTCTCATCATAGCTAAAGTGGAAAGGTCCTTAGCTATTACATCAGTGACAAAGTTTATATAATTCATTTAAAATCCTGGTAAGTGAGGGTCTTAAACTACAGAGCAGGAAAAGAGAGGAAAACAGGAAGCTTAGGGAAGATGGACTGCCGGGAAGTTTGTCCTCCATGAGCTCCTCAAAAGAAACCATCTGTTGGCATCTTGGCACACCTTGGCCCCACCCTTTTGGAACATGACAGAACACTTCACCCCTCAGCATACCACAGGTAGTACCCTGGCTCTACACAGGTGCAGGAGGTCCCTTTAAAAGACTGGCTCTGCCTACTCCCACTCTCTTTCTGAGGTTTCTCTGAGGAGGCAGGCAGATCTCTGTCTCTCTTTTCTCTCTCCCCTCTTTCCCTTTCCTTCCCCCAACTCCCTCCCCTTCCCCCCCACAAAAAAAAAAACTTCCTCCTCATGTAAGTTCTGTGTGCCTGGCTAATCCCTCCCTTACCTGCCATGGGATTGGCCAAGGTTCCCCTCCTGCATACCACAACACTATTCCAGTTTCAAACCAGAAAGCTCCTGAGACAGAATAAACGGATCTACTTTGTGCTTTTACCCATAGCTTAGTCAAACATTATTATTTTTTTTCTTTACCATTGGCATTTTCCCCTCAGAACAGCACTGGCTTCTTGTAGAAAATCATTCCCTATGCTGGGATTTCTCGATGCCATGGGGAGGGACTTGGTCCTGCCTCAATCTAATGTACCAGGCTTTGCTGACTCCCCATGGGAGGCTTTACCCTTAGGGAAGAGTGGATTGGGGCAGGTTGAGGGGATGTGGGGGAGGAGGTGGAGAAGGGGAGGGGAACTATGGTTGGTATGTAAACTGAAAACAAAATTTAAAACGCGTAAGTCACAGTCTGTTATTAAGCTGACCACAGTGCCTTTGCCTTTCTCCCAGTATCTTCCTAAAATCCTGGGAAATGCTCAGCTAGACCGTGAGATTATGAAACTGGTAACAAGAGCCTGGCTCTTTCCCTCTGCACAGAAGTAAGGGAGATGAAAATCCAAGTGGCAATTCCAGGTTAGAACTGATTGTGTAGCAGAATGTGTTTCAGAAAGTTATTTTCAGAAAGGTATTTGTTCTCATATTTAGCATTCATATTCAGTTAAAAACCCCTCTCACTCCCCCAGATTTCTCCTATAAACTTCTGTTTCTAAAATAAGGCAGTTAGCAACTGCATACTGGCATCACACTCAGGCTGGACCACACCTAGATGTCTGAAGTTCTTTCCACTTGGCTTTCTTCAGGTGCTTGTCATATGAGAACAAAGAACACTTGGTGATGTAATGAGCCGTGCACATGTTTTTCAAGTCACAGGATGAGAACCAAGGATGTATGTTTTGTTATCATACCCACTGTGCTCTACACCTTGGAAGCAGACTCACGTTTATGGCTGAAGTATGGATTAAAGAAAAAAATAATACAGTCTTTGGGAAAATAAACAGTCAATAACTTTCCATAAAAGTAGGTAGAGTTGCATGAGAGATAAATGCATATATATATATATATATATATATATGGTCCATATTCATTGGCTAGATTTTCACACTGATTATATGGTTGAATAATTATGACATTACTCTCTATTAATGCTAAAGTATTAGTTATATGATCTCTTAAAGAAAAAACTCTCAGATGCTGGACTAAAAGATGCTCTGCCTATCTTATCAGCATTACGAGGACCCCCTTCAATTGCAACTCTGAGCAACTTCTAAAGCTTTGACTATAGTAATTAGTTTAAGTTTATGGGGAAAAGTCTCACATAGTCTGTTAGTGTTACTACTGCATGCTTATCCCACCCAGTTGTTGTAATGAGTGTTTCCATTACAAAGCCTAAATGGTAATCTTTAATGAATATTCTGGAAGCTAGATACATCACATACCAGGGATACAGATCTGATTAATATAAACAGCATTGCCAACTCACCTGATCCTACCCCTGGGGCGCTCAGATTGCTCTGACATAAAGCTTGTGCTGCTGAGGCGTGAGGCACTGCTGGTTCGGGAAATGGCGGACACATCACTGACATCACTATCTGATGACTTGGCGGAGACGTTATCGCAGCTTCTGTACTGATCTTTATGTATGTTATACTAAAGATTAAAAACAAGAGAGGATGAGCTCCACCAGCGGATCATGGAACAAAAAGGGCCCAGACCTCGAGGTTAATGACTGCTTAACCCAAACGAAGTCAAAGGATACCTTCTTTGTCAGGGGAAGAATGGAAGTTGATAACCATGCCAGCATTATTATATATGAATCTCAATAAAGACTGGACATCTTATCAATGGTGGGGTACCAACTTATGAAGAGTGAACACACAATTGGAGTGCTTCATGGGAAAAGTCAACCAATCATTTGTTCATGTTTGGAACCTGAAACTGCATTACTCATTTTTTTAAAATTGATATTTCATCATATTCTTATCTTGCAATACTTTAAATTTTATACTTCATTTGTAATATTTAGGAAGATACCATGCAAATTTATGAAGGGAATTATTCAGTTTTTATTTCTACTCAATTTTATTGTCCTAATGGAATGGACCATGCAGGGATATACTATATTATACCTACAGAAAGAAACAGATTTTTTTCTAACTATAAATAACATCTAAGTGATTGTTTTCTTTGATGTCAGAAGAAAATAACGTTATTTGTTTACACAAAATAAAATATGACTATCCTGTTATTTGCTGCTATGCAAGTGAATTTTAGATCTGTGAGCAATCAAAGGGTGAAGTGCTCGTTAATCTTAGGGGAAGTCACCTGTCTTCTAGTGCTCTGTACATGAATCATGATTAATTTGAACTATCTTTCTTAAATGTACCACATAAATGAATTATAACAGGCAAATGTATATATACCAAAAAAAAAAATGTAAGAAAATACAATGTAGTAAGTAATTCAAATAATTCCACAGATGGGCCATATTTATTTCATAATCCCTTACATTAAGGTACTTTCCTCTTGAAGCACATGAGTTTAACTTCTTTGCCTCTCATGTGTATAAATTTAGCAAAAAAAATTTTTGTATTATGAAGACAATATGGCTTTAACTGTCTACAAAACAATATTTTCTAAAGTTTTTCTTTCACAAGGTTTACCTTTGAAAGCCACAGATCTCACTAAGACACAAAGGATATTCATATATGCCAGTAAGTCTAGAGCCTAAGTAGTATTTAGTCTCATATATTCAATGCAATATTGTATTTCAGTTCACCACCAAACTCTGTCATGTCGGATAGATGATTCTGTCCAATACAATAAATTTCACTTAGAGACATTGCTAATCTACAGATTTGTAGGGAAACGTATAATGATGACCTGACTTCAGCACTTGCAGAGTATGAAACATAACTCCTAGGTTGAATTACTGTGACCAAGAATGTAGTATGTATTCATTATACCTGCAAATAGTAGAACAAAGTTATCTAGGTGCATTGAGTGTTCTTCTACTATTTTGTGAACAGGAACGAACAGCTGACAGAATCGAGCATGAAGACTTGTGAGCATAAGGGGAAATGTTACCCCAGTTAATGAAATCTATCTTTTTTTACAAGATAACTCTATCCCAGACTGTTTGCATAGAGGTCTTTACTCTTCTAGAAAAGAGGGAATGAAAATGCCATTACATATTCTACTATATTGGAATATGTAATAATTACCCTAAGTATTGTAAGACTACAGTTTCTTTGACAATAACTGAAGGGAATGAAAGACTTTAGGGTATTGAGTTTTTAGATTTTCAAAAACATGTTAATTTTTGAAATAAGATATACTTTTGACATCAAGCATAAGTGGTGGAATTTCATTTTAATAATTGAATTTTTTCATCAAAATGCATTTATCATACATTGAAGAATAAAATATCCTCACGAGGAATTTATTCAGTCCTGATGCATGGAAATAAGTGAAGCTTCCCTCCTCTTGAGGCATCTCTTAATTACAGGGTCACAGTTTCTAGAAGTCAGTAATAATAAATACTTCAACTATTTCCACCAACCATTGCAGTGTTCCTAATGGCTGCTCTAGGGTTATAGAAACAGGATCCTTTAAATCTGAGGACCAGATCATGGGAAATGGCCTTCTGCATGCTGTGAATAAGTGTTTGTCTTACTGGTTAATGAATAGAGCTGTATTAGCCAATGGATAGGAGGATTTAGCCAGGCAAGAAATCCAAACAGGGACAGAGAAAGATAGTAGGCAGAGTCAAGGAGATGCCATGTAGCTGCCAAGGAAGCAAGAGATCTGGGCATCACCGGTACGCCAAGACCATGTAGAGATACACAGATTACCAGAATAGGTTAATAAATAAGAGAGAGCTAGCCACTAAGAAGCGTGAACCATTGGCCACACAGTTAATAATTAATATAAGCCTCTATGTGTTTATTTGGGACTAAACGGCTGCAGGACAAGGCAGAACACAAACTTCCATCTACAGCCAAAGTGTGAATTAATCCTCCAGTATGACTCCTATACATCAGGGAGACATTACGCTCCAAATAACATCAAATAAAAAAAGCATATTGATTCATTTCAAATGTTCCAAAGAAGCCAAGCCAGCATGAATTCCTCACTCAGGGAGAAGAGTAGGACAATTTAATCCTGTAAAGAAAGACCAGACTTGACAATGGTCTCAGGATCTTATTCACCTGGTAACTTTTTAGTATGAAAAACACAATCTAGTTTTGTTTGTTAATAAAAATATTCTGAGGTTAGTCACCTAATTTCTCCTATGGTCCAATTAGTAACTATTTCATCTGATTTGTTAGAATTGAATTTTAATTACTTTATCAAATACATTAAGTTCATAAATATTGTAAAGGGAAAAGTTCAGAATTTAATATTTATGAAGATACTAACACTATTTTATTATCAATAAAAGTCCTTTACAAATTAAAATGTTTTGATTAAAAAGATAACCCTCCCCTGAAAATACATGAGTTTTGTCCTAACTGAAACAGCTACTATCCATCACTTATTGGTATGAATGATTTTCTTTTACGTAAAAAAAATTCAATGAAAATGTCAGTAGAAACATTGGCCTAAAATATAAATATTTTAATTGTGGTTAACATAAAGTTTTATTTGATACATAAATGAAAAAACTGGCACTTGTTATTTTGCTTCCCACAATTTCATTTCTAATATTCTTAAACATTATAAAGCTGCATCTCCGATCTCACATTTACTAGTTGTGCTGAAGTGTATAATTCCATGCTTGAGAATAAAATTACATTATTTGAAAGTCATGTATTTCCTTTTTTCTCTCTCCATGCAGATAGAAATTTAGATATGTATTTTAAATATATGTATATATACATATATATATATTCATATACCTCCTATGTAAGTAAATGAAAATGTAAAGGGGGCTCCTTGGGGGGAAAGAGGAGACAATTCTGGGGAGACACAGGGAAATGTGAGCAGAGTCTATTGATGTGCATGTATAATGAGGTTCCAATGAAACGTATTATTCGTAAGTTAAAATATTAGCAATGAAAGCTGATCCTTTGAAAATTATTTTAGTCATGTGTCTGCATGTGTATGTGTGCGGGTATGTGTACATGTGTGCAGGTACCTCTGGAGTCCAGCAGTGCCGCCCGCACCTCCCTGAGATGGCGTTACAGGCAGTTGTTAGCTGCCTGAAGTGGGTGCTCAGAATCAAACTTGAATTCCCCGGAAGAATAGTATGAGTTTCAGGTTTCTAAGGCATCCACTTTCAATGCAATATGGGCAAGGGGTGTAGGGGTGTCTATACAAATAAAGAAAAAGGCATTAACAGATAAATGAGTATGAAAGCCATTGAGAATACAAGGCTTGAGGGCAGGCTACACTAGAGGGTACACTTATCTGTTGTGACGACATAATCAAGTGGTGTCTAAGTCTCAAGTCTCTCTGTGTGGGACGCTACTAATTTTGGTAAATGAATTCTTGTTCTTTGAGTCTTGGGGTTCATGATGTTGGTAAATGTTTAGGCTGAAACAGAACGTTTTTCATATTACTAGTGTGTGTGTGTGTGTGTGTGTGTGTGTGTGTGTGTGTGTGTGTGTGTACTGACATGCAAGTATGTGAAGGTCAGAGGACACCTTGCAGGAGCTGGTTTTCTCCCTCCACCAATAGCTTCTTGGGATTGAGTTTAGGCCCCTAGACTTAGCTACAGGCTCCTTTACTCAATGAGCAATTCCGCTGACACTGAAACAGAAGATAGGTCCCTGGCTCAAAAAAATCAATAAATTATTTTAAAAACATTAACTTTGAGGCTTAATTTTAATCTTAATGCATTGATTCACTGTAACTTGTACTGATTTTGATTTCTAAAAATTCATCATTCCTAAAAGAGGCTTTCTATGTCAGTTTGTATTTAAGTGGAACCTAATGCTATTTTTGGAATAATTTTAAAATAAACCAAACGAGGATGTAAATATGTTTCATATAGTATAAGGTTGGATATTTTAATTAAGCATTAGCTGCTACATTTTTGGATACCTAGTATAGTCATATAAAAGTAATACTGAAATGTAAATTAAGTGCTTATTGCTATTTATGTCATCTTCTGAGAAATTAACAGCATTATTTTTTTTTTTTTTGCTAAAGACAGACACGCTTAATCGTCAGATTGTATGACTTTTGTCGTAATTCACTTGTCAATACCACAAAAATACATTTAATACATTAAATGAACATCCCACTATTTCATCAACAAATGACCTTTGATATATACCCTGCTTACTTTTGCAAATGTGAGTATGGACAAGCCTCATCTTTAATACCACCATTTTTCTCATTGAAGAGATTACTAAATGTAATAATTAGTATCTCAATAATGTGATTTACATTCTGAAAACATAAAGGTGTAGATGAGAATTGTCAAGCTGTGAGCTGCGTGAACAAATACGATGCAAGACTAATATTTAATGACAATTTCTTTTACATGCTCAGTGTTCTCTAACTTTGTGATGCACACATACACACACACACACACTCACACATGCCTAGTGTATATATCCTGTTTCTCAAGGGCACATTATTGGATACTTCTAATTTTACCTTGGAATATTGCTCGTGATCAAGTTCTTGGCTAGACCCAGACCCTGCTGTCTGCTTAAATCGGTGAACTTTCATTTTCATCTGTCTTGTTCGCTCCTCCACTACTAAGCTTGCTGCAAAAACACATAATGGAAACCCATTAAAACACATGAAGCACCTTTTAAGGCAATGGCTGGTTTAAGGTTTCAAAGCTTTGAAATGATCTGAACTCAATAAAATTCAGAAATCAACTACAATTAATAGGTTAAACCAAATGCAGGATAGACATCACTCACAGCTGTAAATCTAAAGGTGAACACAATTCAAAGTACACAGAATGAGGAACACAAATGTTAGTAACAAAGTAATAAGACCTTATTTCTTCACCTGATGTGAAATATTTACAACTCTCTTCATAGGCAATTATGCAGAATTTAATTGTGAAATGGTGTTTTCTGTATATTCAAGTAGCTGCTGCTGGTTAGCTGTAAACAAATTTGCATACTGAACATGCCACAGACATGTATGTGCATGTTTGCCAGCATGCGCACCCACTGGGTGTCCTCATTTACAGAGAAGTGTCTTGAAAACTATTTTATTGACAATCATATACTCTGAATTTTGACCAAGAGCTTTTGATGAATATTTGCTGCCTATAAAAATGGACTTTAGACAAAAGAAAAAAAACTTTCCATTTCTCATGGCTTGCACGAACCATATACATAAAGCTCATAAACTTTGAAAGCAATATGCCATATTTTAAACTCTTTTACAATGTAATATGTACAGAAATGTACTTTACTTAATATTCTATTATGATAAGAAGAGAGTGTGATAGAGGGCAAGACTGTAATCTTCAACCTGACTAAAGCCAGGATCCATCACAATCTAGCTTGAAAACTCTGTTTCTAATTGTTTTTTTTTTTTTTTTTTTTTTTTTTTTACAAATTTAGGGGAAAGAGGCAAGGCTATAATTGTATGTATTCAAAAACTCATAATTGTGCTGAGTGAGACCTAAATTAGTTTTCTTTACAACTTATTATTGATTTCTTAGAGTGCTTAATCTCTGAAGTTTAAACTGTACTTACAAAGTACTTGTGTGTGTGTGTGTGTGTGTGTGTGTGTGTGAAAATGTTTACATGACCTTCGTACTATTCAGCCCCTAAAACATATAATGTGTGTTTTTAGGTATGTATAGAAGTGTGTGCATGCATGTATGTATGCATGGGTGAGAATGTGTCCGAAACTTCAGCTTCAGACCAATCACACCAGCAACATTTTAAATTATGCCTTATTGAAGGCAGTAAATAGGCATACCCATCCTATTATATTACAGTTGTGAACATTAAGCAATGTCACCCATTTGCTTTGAATGCTGCCCTAAGAGACACTACACACTGATTGCCTTCAATTAGAAGACGTTTAACAAACAGCTTGAGAAAAGTCATTGAGAAGTTTGTTAGTCACTTGACAGAACACAGAGCCAAAGGTAGCATTATGAAATATGCTGCAAGAAGACAGATCTTGGGAATAGTTACAAAAGGACAGTTCTTAGGAACCGCAACAAAGTCATGAAAATTAAGATTTTTATGTATAGAATGCTATAAATAGTATAGAAAGCCATATGTAAGTGTATCTTCTTTCTGCCCCCCATCCATGTCATAAATATCTCCTGATAACTTTTTTTTTTCATTTGTTTTCACTATTAGGGAGCTTAAAAAATTTGTAGTTGTACTGTATAAATAAAACTGAAAACAATACACAGCAATCTCAATTACATAAATAATTAAATGTTATTTAATATCACCATCAAATACCTTTTAAAGAACCTTTATAACACTTGCTAGACCAAAGCTTTGTTATATTTGCATTTAGTACTTTGTAGTTCTTAATACTGCTTCCCAGAAGGTAACTCCTGAAAGAACTAGAAACAGTCTCGTCTCTGTGCATGCACTTTGCCACCCGCTCACTTTCTCTCAGCATGGTTACATTACCTTATGGTGTCTGCATTTTAATACTCATTTTGCAAAACTTCAAGTTATATCCTACTAATATATCAGTAACAAGTGAACTGAATGTAACCCCTGTTTTCAGAGACTTTATTACTAGTTTCTGAAAATTCTCAGCATACTGCACTTATTCACAAGAAAGTTTAAGAAAACAGCTTTTACATAATTACCAGGATTAAAGCAATCTCCAAATTAAGATCCCCAGTAGACCCATTCAACTTTCAGCAAATACAACTGTCATACCGTCTTCATTGTTTGAGCTCAGATTTCAACAGAAGCCAAATTCAAATGAGCCTGATCATTTACTTGAGTGATCAGAAGGTGGAATAATTGCATCATGTTGCTAAGAGTCCTTCTATGTGTCATGTGTCCTCTTTATGATGAATTATGCATTAACCTAGTACTATGAAATAACTCTGTAAAAGTTATCACGAGGCATTGAAAGGCTAATTTATATTCACACCCTTAGTGTGAATGTGAGCGCTGTTTAAATTTTCTACATACTTTTATTTCTCAAATGTACACCATGAAATGAATTATAGAAATGAAAAGCTACGTTTCTCAAACTTCAACCCTAAAATATATGTCCACTAATATATATTATTAAGAGGAAGAGTAACAGAAATAATTAAAACCAAACCATGTACTTGGAATAATAATATCCCTTAATTATTTTGCTAAAAACAAAATTAACCACATATCATTATTTCCAATATCTTATTTTTAAAGAACAATTATCCCTCATCATTTAAAGAGCTCCTCTCTTTTATCAACTTTAACTCTAACAGGAAATTTTATATCGGAAATAACACACTTTACAGAACAAACTGAGACAAATTAAATTACATTATAACACATTCTGAGTGTTTGCAGCCATTTAAACTAACACAGGATTAAAAGGCAAACTGTCATTTAGCTACAAAAAGATTAGAAAATTAAGGTCTTTAGGGGTATTATCTTTCATACCTGTGACATATTAAAATGAAGTAATTTTTATTTTTGACAATAACAATATTATTCACTTTTAATAACAATTTGAAAGGAGTCTACCGTAGACTAACTATAATTATAGATAGCTCATTAAAGTACATTAAATAATTCATTCCCTAGGATCTCCTGGGTAAATTGGGAGCATGGGGATGGTGGTAGGGAGGGGATGAGGGATGAGAACATAAGGGAACTTGATGGGCAAGGTTGGCGAGGGATGGAGGACACAGGCCAGGCTGAGTTCAGGGAGTTCAGTAAAAGAGAGGGGAGAGGGATTATAAGAGCAAGTGGAGGAGGCATCAAGATCATGATGGGGAAAACCCTCAGGGACAGCTGAGTGAGGTCATGGGAGCTCAGGGACTCTCCAGACTGACAGCCAGAGAGCCTGCTTGGGATTGAACTAGGCCCTGTGCATATGGGCAACAGATTTGTTCCTTGGTCTGTTTGAGGGGCCCCTGGCAGTGGGACAAAGATTCATCCCTGATGCATGAATTGGCTTTATGGAGGCCATTCCCTATGGTGGGATGACCTGCTCTACCTTGATGCAGTGGGGAGGTATTTGGTCCTGCCTCAACATAATGTGCCAGGCTTTGTTGACATCCCATGGTTTGGGAGAAGGTGGAGTGAGCAGGAGGAAGGGAGGGAGGGGGAACTGTGGTTGGTACACAAAATGAATAAAACATATAACATATACATACTCCTGAAGTTTCTAAGATGTAGTTAACATTGCAGCTTTACTGAAGTGTTTTCCTGAGGAGTTGCATGGCTGAAATCTGTCCCATCAACTACAGCCTCAGCTCTATGTGTATGCTGGTTAAACTATGGCTCAATACATGAACATGTTGGGTGTGCAGAACTATACTGAAGATCATTTTTCTTCACACCAATGCCTTGTTCCTTGTTATCTGAAAATTCAGAAATCTTTTTCAAACTAATGCTGATCAAAAAAAATACTACCAAGAATGAACAGAAACAGGGATTTGGGAGCCACACTTATGATGCAATTTCGCTTCTTCTAAAACTCAAGGAAAAGAATTCCAATTGGAGCACATGGAGTAAGCTTAGTAACTTAGTAACTGTAACTTACAAAGTACTAACTATACTTATCAAATGGAACATATTCTAAGGCACTAAAAATAAAGATTTGGTTAAAAGGAATTCCTCTTCATATTATGTACTTTGCTAAGAATTGTTTATATAACTCCCCCCACCAGTGTGTGTGTGTGTGTGTGTGTGTGTGTGTGCGCGCGCGCACGCATGCGCGTGCGCATGCCATAACCTGGGAGTACATGTCAGAGGACAATTTACTGGAGTCAGTTCTCCCCAGCATGTGTGTCCTGGGTAGGTGGGTCCTGTATGAATATAGAAGGGCAGGCTTTTGTGAATCTACAAACAAGCTGTAACAATTTGTGAATTCCCGCCTATACCTGTATGTATTTCTTTAAAAGCCCAGGAGTAAAATTTTATTTTTTTTATGTGTAGATACGTGTGTGTTTACACACATGCACACATGTTCAGGTATCTAGAGATTTCAGAAGAGGACACTGGATCACCACTTGGAGCTGGAATCAAAACCAGCTGTGAGCAGGAAACCAAAGTCCATTCTTGTGCAAGAGCAACCTGCACTCTTAAATGCTGACCCATCTCTCCACATCTCCCTTTTAAAAGTTCATTTCATAAAAAGTAATAATGAAAAAGTTAACAATCCTTAACATTTGTTAAGGAGTACTGAATTTTTAATATATCACTTCCAAAGAGCATGCTATTTTTTGACATGTTTTCATGCTATAATTAATGTATGATTAGCATTCCAATGTAAAGTTTTAATGAATTTGCATTTATGTAAAAATGAGTCTGTACCAATTTCAAAATTTATAAAGCTAAAAAGTAACACAAGCTTAACTTTTGATATTTGAGTCCGGAGAGATGAGTCAGAGATTAAGAGCACTGGTTGCTTGCTCTTCCAGAGAACCCAGGTTCAATCCTATCCATCTGTAACTGGAGTCCATGGTATCTGATGCCCTCTTCTGGTTTCCACCAACATTGCAAACATGTGGAGCATGCATAAACATAGGTAAAGGCAAAACAGCCACACTACAACTTCTCACATTTTCTTTTTTCAATTGTTCCTTGTGAAA